CTTTCCGCTGTTTTAAGAAAACCACGTCAAAATGCTCGTAGTAAAACATTCTGGGGAGCTGTCCTTTTCCATGTGCTATCGCAGAGCCCAGGACAGCAGGGGTCTCCCTGGGTTTCCAGGTGAAGCATGCTGAGTGTTGGAGGCACGTACAGGCACGTACAGTATGGTAACAATGAAGATACTAATAATGCAAAAAACACTGCAGTGACCTTGACTGGGGATCTTTCCCCCTGGAAAACAGAAATTCCTTAAATCGTTACACCTGCCGAAGCCAGCTGCCCTCGGTCCTGACAGCAAACACAGCTCTGAATGCCTCTTTTCGGGAATGACGGAAGGAAAGAAAAAACACAGCTACTGACAAAACTAATTCCTGCACACGCGAATGCCGTTGGCACAATTAACAGCCCATTTATTAACAGGAAATGGGACAGACCTTTGGCTGCAAACACTGTATGTTGACGTGATCCAAGGAGAAACTCCGGTCCTGTCTCCTCTCCACCAGTGCCAGCAGGTTCCGCGTTCAGCCGTGGCTCATCTCTTGCAGCCCCCATCGGTTTGCATCGTTCCTACCACAACCAGCTCAACAGAAACCAGGGAAGAAGTTTTATCGGCAGCACCATAACAACTTGGGCACGTGGTGGCAAGCAGATTCACTTAGGGAAAAACCGGGCCTTAGTTTTTTGCACCTGGTTGTGTTTTAGGGAGAAACACCTGCCCAGTGATGGGGCACCATGTGTCCTGCAGCTGAAGCACCCGACCCGCCCACCACAGCGACCCACCATACCCTTCCTCCATGGGGGGGGGCCAACCCCGAAGTGTTGCAAATACTCCGGAGCAGTTGTTTCCATAAAGGAAGAGCAGCAAGCCCAGTGCCTCCCACAAGCCGCAGATGTACACACAGCCTGTGCTGGGACATCTCTGGGAAAGGCAAGGGCTGGGAAGCACGGACGAGTCATTTGGCCAGTGCTCCCTGCCTCCTGCCCAAGGGCCTCCAGCGGAGAGCAGGAGGGAGTAGCAATCCCATCCCATGCCATGAAACCAGAGAAAGCAGCAATTTCAGTTTCTCTCTCCTGCTTCAGTCAAGCGCTGAATTGGTGACAGCCATAGCCCATCAGGCTGAGCCGACAGCGCTCTCCACTGGGACAGGACAGGGACCAAGCCCAGGTCACCTGCCCCTGCCCCAGCCCCATGACACCGAGCCTCATGTGCCTTCCAAAATCCATTTCACATCCCTTTCAAAACCTGTGCCTCTCAGCTCTAGGTAACCCTGGGATAAATGCCGACTCCTCTCCAACCAGGAGCTCACTAAGCAAAGATACAGTCTTTTACACTCAACCGAAATCCCTCGGTATTAGGAAAAAAAACCCACCCCACCCCAAAATAAACACACAGCAATTCTGAGACAGGGTAATTCTATTTCACACATTTTATTTCTGTGGGTTCTTAGGTTTTAAAGAACATCAGACATTTTTTTTCTGACTGTATACCTGAATTGCAGCTCTTCTTCCTTTTCAGTAAGCTTTGGGATAATTGTCACAGTGGATATTTTAGGATGATAAAAATGCAAAGAATTCGAAGTGCAGCTTCTCTGCAAGCGTGAGCCTTCCCAGCATTAAAGCTTAACTGAAGGAACGGCGATAATAACCTTTGCTATTCAGAAAACCACTGATATTTTAAAAAAAAAAAAAAATCTCAATTATGTGGTGACCACAACTGAGCAATTCTTAGAATTGATTCTCAATTTGTTATTTTTTAAAAAGGCAGCACCACTCTTGCAGGAGAGGCGTGCTCTGCTGCGTGCTACCAAGCCCTCTGCACCGCCAGCTTTACGCACCCAGGGTGCAGGATGCGACTCGCCATTTTCCCCCTCGGGTCGACACCGCTTGCACACCCCAGAACTGGACCGAGGAAACGCAACGCCAACTCCCGGACAGACCAGACCTTCAGCTGCAAGTTACTTCAGGTTTAGAAGATGTAAGGTGTTAATAGCACACAAAAATCTTCTACTCCCGAGATTCCTATGCAGTAACCGGTCACGAAAGATTTCTCGGAGATGCTCAGAATCACCGACTGTCCCGAAACCCTGCTGCTGTATGCTCCCAAACACGCCCAGTCACAACTACCAGCACTAGCTACATGAGGGCGAGCGGGCGCCACGAGACCCACGCGGCCATCCCCGCTGCTGGGGCAGAACACTGGCTAACATGCTCCTACACGCGACACGCTTCACACCCAAGCAGTAAGAAATAATCGACAGTTATCACCAGGTCCTGAGTTCAGCCATAATCAGTATTTTAAGTATTAACCTTCAGGCCCAGGTTTTTTCTTAAAATGATCCTGGAGAACATATATATTTCAAACTTCTCTATTTAAAATGCTCTATTTCACTAACCTACAAACTTTATTCTAGCCAGACTATCACCTGGAGAAAAATACCTTAAATTAGATTTCAAGTATTCAACAGCATTAAAGTTGTTACACTTTAAGTCCTTTGAAGATCCTGAGACAAACACTCATATTCAATCTAAAAGAAGGAAACAAAAATGTAATGAACAGAACCGAAGCAGCTCCCAGAGCAAATTGCTGCACCGGCCAGCTCCCACCCTCCCAGCCCAGGCTTCTCGGACAAGACCGCTCCGTCTCCCAACAGAAAGGTCAGCCCCAACATCCAGCAGCTGCTGGAAGCTGAGCTGTCTCATCCTTCGTGATCGCTCGAAACGCCATACGTTGCTGTCCGTTCTTGCTCAGTGACAGCGATTTGTGAGGGCTGGGAGCGCATCAGCAATCGCAACTCTGCCTCCCAACTTCTTCCCCAGGATTAGCTGCAAAAAAAGGAACGAGCAAGAGTGGGAAGCCAAGCGGTATTTTATTGACTCCCAGAAGACAGATATGGATTGCGTACAACCCTGGAAAACTTCTCACTTTTTAAAATCCCGGAATTCTGAACAAAACTCATTCCTCATAAATAACCTGACACCGTTCCCTCGTCAAAAGGTTTTGGCATGGAACATATTTCCTTTACAGTATAGTTTTAATCGTTCACTTGAGCAGCTTAAAAAACTATGTCTATAATAATACTTAAATATATTGCTCATATTTGTGACTTCCTAAAAAAAATAGTTTCAGCTAATACTTTCCTAGTCAAAAAAAATCCAGACACCCAACTTTTGAATGAGCACTTCAGAAAGACCGGTAAAAATAATTGGCTGGAAATTCTCAACAGACTTCACTCCTCAGCAGACTGAGCCCCTTAAAACGTGTATTTCATCTACAGCAGTAACGACCTCAAGGAAACGTGCGTGGTGCGACCAGCTCTCCCTCCATCCCACAGAAAGGTACACACGTCCTACACCCGCAACGGAATTTCCGTGACGTGAGCGAGGCGAGGCTGATCTCAAAGGCGGGTGCCCCATCGCTTGCAGAACCTGGCCTCGTACAACGGAATCCCTCCTGGTTTTACAATTAGGAGGGTCTAAGCCCCAGCCAGATGATGACCACAAAAGCCTTGTTGGGCGGGTAGAGGCCACAGGAGCGCTCATGGTTTTAACGAGAGGTGGACAGGATGACCTCAGTCACCAATGAAGCTGAATTAACGTAGCCTGTCTATTGCAGCTTGCAACATTTGCTCCTCCGGCATCTGGAAAAGGCAACAGCCTCTGGAACCATCACAGTCTTTTCCGAGGGGATCGCTAGGCCACAGAACTGCTCACCTGACCACAGCAGTGCTCGCCATCATCCGTAACGCTGCCAAAAACGGATTGCTTGCACCTCAGTGCATTACTTCCAAGACACCAGCCCAGAGATTTCAACCAATGCACGAGTGATTTTCAGGCTTGATCATTTTTTGCAGAGAGAACTGGTTCCTACATGAGCAGTAACAATGCAGCACTTCTCCTTGGCATTCACCATCGGCCAGAAATGGTTTTACATCCAGGCCTCCAACACCCCACGTGTTTCCTAAGCCCCTGGAGACGCTGGGCGTGAGGTACAGTAACTCCAGTTCAGCTTCAAGACACACAGGCTTTGGCCATGAAGCTGGCTAAGAGACTTCGCTCCACCCCACTGCCTCCGCAGACGTGCCATCCCAACTGTAAACTGGATCTCTGAGCCCGCGTGGGTCTAAAAGGAACCCTTGACTTGACCTCAAAGCACGGACTGGCCCGCTGATCTGTTCCGTGCGGCACGTGCAAGGGGCCGTGGAGCGGAGGGTCAGGAACCAACAGCTGGAGCAGTGGTGCACCAGTTTGGTTTCGTCGGGCAAATTCTCACATCACAAAACGTCACCTTCATCGTTTGTAAAGGGAACACTGAGATGCTCTCCGGAAAGCACGGGTGATACCTGGATGGGTGCGAACCAAGGGACGCGTTTGGACGCAGGCCGCGTGAGCAGAGAGGCGATACGGGGCATCGCATCCTCAACGTCCTGTACCACTTCTGAACACCGTGTACTAAAAAGGGTTTTTAAAAACGCCTTCTATACACCATTCAATCGATCTCACCGTATTTCCCTTCCATCTTACATTTTTACATAAAGCAAAAAGTAGTGTCTACACCTTTAGGAAAAACACCTAAGTATTCGTTAAAGCAAACAATAGCACTTACCTAATTAGCTTCATGGAGACCATCACACATGTAAAGCCCAAAGGCAGTGAAATCTCAGAGACGCAACAACTTGGGTGAAAGCAGAGATAACTCACAGGAAAGAAGTTTTAACTACGTTTTGTCCATACAAGAGCCTTTCATTTCTTCAAGAGGAGAGGAATCAATACCCAGCAAGTGACTGGTTTTGGCAATTCAGGCATAGTGCCCTTAAAACGAGCAATCTTTTTCTCTTGTCATGTTACTGTTACAGTTATGACTGTATTGATGGGTTCCTGGGATATACAAATCGCCTACTTCTAACCAGGTTTCTGCACGTTATAGACGAAACTTCTTAACTTACAAGTAATTATGTTGCTGTTTCCAGTCTACAATGGTAAAAAAAAAAAAAGACTTCACAATGTGTGTAAATGGGAGGTAAATGTATTTTTAAAAACAGAATAAAAAGCTGCATGTTAAAAACTGGGTCACAGACTAATAAATACATACATCAAAGACATGAAATTTTCAGCAGCTGGTTTTAAAGAGCAAGGAAGTGGGGAAAAACTAGCTGTCCAGACTTCATTCTGGCTCTGTGGTCTACGCGCTAGAAACATCTGCAGTTCAAAAACAAGTTAACAGAGGAGTAGAATCAGCTTTGTCACCTATTTTCTTTTAAAAAAAATCAAGCTACTTCCTAAAAGTGTGGTGTAAAACCTAGAGAAACTTTCATTTCTTCATGCACTCGATGACATTGAATTAAAAAAAGAAATTATTTTAACCCAGAAAAAATGAGTCATTGTATACTGTAAGGACAGCCTTACTGCAAGTTTTCTACAGTAAAAGTATTTCTAGAAATACACCAGAAATTACTTTCTCATAAACAAAATATACAACTATGTGTCAGATCGTCATTGAGTTCCAATGCTGAGGCAAAACAGAAACAGTTACTATGCAGTTTCAAAAAAAAAGGAAAAAACCCAACTCCAAACGGTAAAAAGATGTTTTGACAGCTGTGGAGATGCCAGAAAGCAACACTGGACACCAGGAATTTCCAGAACACCCTCCTTTCCAAAGTGATGTGCAGTCTGTGAATTAGACCGTGAGAGAAAACTGATCCTGTTCTATGGGCTTCTCCACCCAGGCTCCAAGTCCTGCCTTCAGGAATGCTTTAAACAAACACTCTTTGGCAGTTTGATACTCAGCGGCTCCTTGCTTGGTGTCGTGGTACAGGTTAGGCTTGAGGACCTTTGAGCGCAAGCTGGAGGAAAGCTGTGGGGATTGAAGGTGAGAAAAGAGGAACCGAGTAAACCAGACAGCCTGCGAGTGAGCCAGTTATTAAAACGACTGTTATTAGAACAAGGCAACGACCTCATAAACCAAACGTTCAGGCAAAAGCAGACAAGTACCCTTCTGGCCCTCATGGCTCCGTACCCAGCTGCCCCACACCCAATGGTGACGGCCGTCTCTTGCAGAGCCAGACCACGGCAGGGGCGCCCTGGGGACCAGTCCCCCCGCAGCTACCTTGCCTTCTGCTTCGTCTGGATCGGCAGCTTCCTCCGGTGGAAGAAACCTGGACGCCAAAATGCCACTGACAGACCCTTTCTTGTAGCTTTTCTTTCCGAGAGGGTAAAACCTCCGCCGTTTCGCTGGCGGTTGAAACTGGGATTATCCCTCCAAATAAACTGAGAGGGCAAGCTCAAAGGAGATGGCACCCATTGTTTACTTGGCCGTAAGCCGAGGATTATTAGATCCCTGAACACACTGTGGACCAGACATCAGCAAACTAACGAATAAGCTCAACAGATTCTTTCCCATTACTACATGGAGCAGTAGCTAACATCAGTTTCAGCTTAAAGCCGGCTCAGCAAGTGGCTTCCGGACACAGAAAGCAGCATGCACAGATATTTCATTAAGAAGTGGGAAATCTAGCACTCTGGAAGATATACCTTTGCATGAACACGCATCCAGCGGCTGTAAAAAGCATGCTTACAAAGGCGGGACGCACGGCCCATCTCATCTTTGCCGGTTGTAGCATTAATAACTTCAAGACCCGTGTCTCCTACGGTCCAGTTGACGCTGAAGTTCGGTGCTTTCCCTGGTTGACGGGCTTCCGCATTGCTAATACCTGCAAGAAAAAACGACCTTTAATGACAGCCCTAAACACTAACTCTTGGGTTTGTTTTTACTGGGGAGTAAGCGATACAGCAGAGCTACCGAAATCACATCACTAAGCAGTCTTACAAGCATATCTTTTATTTCGAGGACGTTCTCCTGCGGGTCTGTCACCGACTCATGGAGATATCCCCATGCACATCTCATTCTCATCCTGGCTAAAGTGCTCCCTCCTCCTGTCCTTCCTAGCAGCGGCATGGGATGGCAGGATTTATCACCCCACGGCTGCCAAGACGCCCTGTACATACTGACCGCGGTACCGTGCTTGCAGATCACGGCAGCCACTGCCGTCCACGTGCGGCTCCTCTCCGGCACGGGCAGCGGACGGCGCTTGGCACTCGCGAGTAGGAGCCGGGGCCAGGGGTCTGGGCGGTGCGTGCTATGGAAAAGCTGAGGAGCACATGGGTTTTGACCCTGCAGATGTTACGGGGTGGCAAAAGTCAACCTTTAAGCTGTCTCGGCTGTCTCACCAGGAGAGACCAAACGAACAGGAAGATATTTTCTTTCTAACAAGTTTGTTTCTTTCTGTTTTTACTTCAACCCAACTCGCACTGAGAACCTATTTCAAACCCACTCCGAGGTTACGGTAGGTCCCGCACTTTTATAAAATCTAATGTGTTGGTACACGCTGGACATACGCCTTGCAGCAGGGTGCATTTCTCACGGGTATTTCAAACACAGTCTAATAAACCGAGGTAAGCCGACCTCAGGCACCCGAGCACAGGGCTGGCTCGCCTGGCCCAGGTCTCATGGCACCTCTGGGCCCAGCGCTGAGAACGTGAGACCTCTTCGAGGTCTGAACAGCACCGTGAAACTCACTTTGCTTACTATAATTCCTCATCTAATAAATTCACTCAGTGCCTCATTTAATAAATAAACAAACATTTTGAGATACCAATCATCTTCAACATCCTGAAGCTGTTGTATTTTCACACTTGATTTACGTCAATCTGGTCACAATGATGGATAACCAGTAATTAAGTGAATAAGTACATAAAAACCCAATCCTACCACCCCCCATTTTCTTAAAATGTAAGATGAAAAAAGTGAGAACTGGAACAAAAGTTTCCTGAAGAGCTCTTTTCTGATTTCTTTTAGGAGAGATGCATCCAGGAGCTGAAATACAGCAGGATGCCATGGATCTATACCCACTGATCTGTAAATCGGTGAGTGGGGATGTGGGATCCACACACTGGCCAACCTGGGAGGGCGGACAGCGGTCCCCGCTGGAGCAGGTACCGTCAAGAATATCACACAAGCAACAGTGGGAGACCCAGCAAGAACAGGGCTTTATGATGAGAGTCGAGAAGTCACCGCTGAAGTGCAAACACTGCCGCACGATATGAGGCTTGCGCCTGAAAACCTAATAAATTGTAAATTTTGGGTGCACACAAAATGGATCTCAACTCAGAGTATCCAAAAGCATATAAATTCAGGCTGCTTTTGTGAAGCTTATGTGAAACCATGCTGATAAATGCCTTAATCAAAGATTGGTTTTACCAAAACCACTGAGGCAAGAGGGCTGAGACACTGCCACCACACGACGAGCAGGCCAGGCGTGCTCTTTCTTTAACTTAACAATAACTACACCATTACCTTTGCTTTTGTTCCATACACCACTGAACGAGTACAGTGATCAGATACAGTCCATCCAATACTGCAAAAACCCACTGTTTGCTCCTTGAGCCTGGACCTGCCCTGCCGGCTACTCGGGCACCCATGACATCACAAACACCCACACAAGCAAATCAAAGACGAGGAAGCTGAGCATCCCGCCTGCACTGCATTTCCACAGCAATTAGCCAGTTGCATTCCTTAGGTTATTTTGATGAATTAAATAAATTTAAAAAAAACAGACTCAGAATTTCGTTAGACTTAAGTAACAACGTCCTGTTCAGCTGCTTAATTATCTGCATGAACCCTGGAGAGATGGCAAAGGAGTCCCTGAAGGGTGATCATGGGTAGCATGGACAGGTCATCTCAAAAGCAAAGTGTCTGGGAACACTTGAGGTGGATCCTATCTTCCCCCTCAAAATCTAGACACAAACATAGCAAAAGCAACTGAAACTAGCAATGGGAAAGAAAAAATATTGTATTTTCCTTTGAAAACTAATATAACTATTCAGAGAACATTGCTCAAAACTTCTTGTTGAAAATTATTATAACGAGGTATAATAAGCAAAAGCAAAGGTCCCAGCTCTTTGTGCCTGTGCCTATATAAATAATAAAGCTTGACAGTTCTTTGAGGACAGAGCCCAAAAAAGCTTCATGACAAAGGAGATAGAGCGCTGAAAAACACCAATGTGGATGGGAAGATAAGGTACCAAGGAAACAGCCAGTCATGGCACATCACCTCTCTTCACAAACCACACCAGTTTTCCAGGACGAAAGGTGGCCAGTGTGATTCCAGTTTTCATGGAGTTCGGAGGTGTGCCAGGGAACTACCAGACAGTTAACACGGCATGCACCAGGAAGGCTGTAGGAACTACAATTCCAGCCATACGGATGTCAGTGCAACACTGTTGGGAACGACTCAACGAAAAGCTGCCTTAGTAACTTGAGACTGGAGGTGACTCTCTAATTCTTTGAGAGCCCAGTGAAAAGACAGGCCTGTCTGTTCGATGTCTACCTTAAAAACTGGCTTAATGGACATCCAGATGAGGACAGTGTCCTTGGGAAGAGCCAACACGGCTGGAGACCCTCAGGCTCTGTGTAGACCTGGAAAATGTGTGTGCGGGGAAAAAAAATGAGGTGAATGAGACTGGTGATGATACTACATTGTTTAAGAAGAAAAGCAATTGCAAAGAGCAGCAGAAAAAAAGCTCACAACACTGGGTGACTGGGCAGTAAAAAGGCAGATGAAATTCCTCACAGATAAATAATGTAATATTTAAATAAAGGTAATACATAAAAAAACCAAAGCAATTCTGCGTAAGGAGTGCTGGACTTGCAGCTGGGTATTAGCATTCAGGAATGAGATGAGTTTAATATTCAGTTCTACCAAAAGCTTATATCAATGATCAACGGAAGCAAAGTGACTTTTGGGAATTATTACTGAAGGATCATGGGACTGAAGAGAATATCATGATGGCACCATCATGATCACAATCGATGCTGCCGCTTCATCTTGAGCATCAGGCGCTGCTCTGGTCTCACTAGCTCAAAAACACAAATGGAAGGGATAATCCTTACGTGGGAGGGCCTCCACACAAGGGAGCAACAAAGCCCATGAGGACTCTTCAGCTTGCAAAAAATATGTAGCAATATTGCAGAGGTATAGAAAACTGAGTGCCACGACAACTGCTTATAGCCTGTATCATGCAGAGCATCTAATGAAGTCAGCAGAAAAGAAATTCCATTGCACAGATCTTTACAAGTCCTACAGCCCTCCTTACTAAAGGAGTCTGTGGATGGTAAAACATTTAAACGAGATCAAAAACCAAAAGCATCTCACGAATGAAAGATCCATTACAGATTTCTAATCACAAGGACTCTCAATATCTGACCCGAGATCCCTGATCCCCAGATTACTGCTGCAGTTCTCCAGAGGTACCTGCAGAGGCTACTGCTTCCTCACTGCCTAACTACCTGTGGGAAAGAGAGTACTGGGGTAGATGGATCCTACCAGAAGATCTTGGTCTTACCCGAGACAGTCCTTATCCTGGCGACAAGATAATTGGCAGATGTGAAACTGCTGCGGGGTGTTTCATCCAAGAATCACAATAAGAAACACCTGTCAGCAGCATCACAAGGAACAGGTCAAAACCACCCACACTGTAATTTCTGACAATATTCTGGTAAAACATGGGAAGCTCTAGGGAAACCAAAGCATAAGAAACTATCAACTGACCAGACGTCAGAACAAGGACAACTTTGCCTGTATTAATATTGTAATATTTTCTATCAACACGGGGGTTTCCCACATGCCCTAGCTGAAAAATCAGCTACTGTGATATACACAGTTACATTTAACTTGCTGGCAAAAAGAGGTGTAAGTAGAAAATCTCCTGTGAGAAAAGAAATGTGATGAAAATACAAATTTTAGCAGTAGATAACAACTCAGACTGATTTTGACTTAATTCAGTTGTCCCTGCAGATATAAAGCTCGCTCTTTTTTTTTTAATGAGAGGGAAAACCAACCCCAGTTTTGACAGTACATTCTCAGCTGAACAGGTGAGACAGCGGGGAAGTGAGTCACGCTCACACAGCCGCGTGCGCGGCGCCAGGAGGAACACACACTCGGGGACAGGTATTTCTGCAGTGTTTGTTCCAGCTAAGAACACGCCGTCTGATGTGTGAATCAAAGAGCAGATGGGTTGGCCACGCACGTGCCCCAGCTGAACCCAACAGCATGGGCCAGAAGGCTGGCTTTCAAGCCTGAACCAGCAGGAGAAAATGAAGACAATTCTCTGCCCAACCTCTCAAACAAGTTTCCTGTACATTTTTTAGACGTGTATCTTCATGAAAACTCAAGAGCTGAGAACGTTTCTGAACCCCCTCTACTGCTCAGCAAGTCCTGGCTGAACTGTTTTAAATAGATGGTGCTGTTCAACGGAAAAGAGATGATGTCAATATTGCAGAAAAATTATTTTTAAGAAGACAAGGCACTATTATATGTTGTGAAAAGGGTAACAAAAACTCCTCCCACCCCACCCCAAACGTGCTGTCTTGAAGAACTGACAAAAATGTGACAAAATCAAGCAGAAACAGTCCGTACAGCTACTGTGCCCATAAAGCAACTTAATTTTGGTAACTGTAGCTGTTACTTACTTGCTACTGTAAGGACAAATACATTAGTTAACATTTTAACATGTCCTAGTTCAGATAATCCTTATTAACTGTCTTTCTTATCTAAAGAAATGCTCGTTGTTCAATAGGCTCTTTTCCCCGCTCCCTCCCTAAATCTGTTTTAAAAAAACATGTCACTCTTTAAACATGCTTTAAAACACTGAGCTGTTTGGGATGTTTCCTGCAAAATAGACAGACACATGTCAAAAGCCAAGCTCTACAGAACAAAGCAACGCACCCAGTGAGAAGGAGGGTAAGAGATTTCGGTTTTAAAGCTTTCCCAGCACTACCGTAACTAGCTGTTTTAGAATTTAAGAAACTTCAGAACCGTCCTTGGAAGGTCACAGCGCAGTCAGAAGTTACGACCTGTTCATTCAAACACTGCCATTCCTCTTGGCCTCAGCAGAGCCTAGGATCAGCACAAAGCCCAAGAACCGTGCGTACGTGTTCAAGAGCAGCTGCAGAAGACAGCCGCTAACTCCACTGGCTGGGGTGTGCCACGCTGCTGCCGGAGCTGTTTAAGACTCCATTAAAAATACTCTCAAAGAATGAATGTTCCACCAGGCTCCGAACGCAGCGTTTGTGCTTTAACCTACAGAATGGACATTAAAACATTACGGGGTCATGCGAACGAGCTGGGTGCCGCCGCGCTAGTAAAAGCTGCATCCAACAAAGAAAACACAACCAATGGCAGCTGAGGTGCTCACCCCCCCCATTTCTTGTTGCGTACTGACTGCGAACCAAACGTGTCCACCGATTAACGACGTGGCTGCTCAACCGGCGTCTGCAGTGGCAAGAGAAGTGACAGTGAGAGCTAACGCGCGATTCCAAGGGCGGGAAGAGATTTCGCTAAGCCAGGGCCCTTCAACTTGCCTCACATATTGCTGGGGCACACTCCAGACAGCAATTATGTGAAACCTCACCCAAAGGTTCATACCCCAGTTCCTTACCCCATTTAACTCACAAAGGGTCCTTGCTGTGGTCCTTCTGACCGAGGATCTATATTAGGTTTAGACTGTAACTTCTCTGTTGTAACCAGAAAGCAGTTTACTCACGGTACATAATTTGCAAGGTTTTGAGAACTGCAAAATCACATTGCTACTGGAACAGACTTAAGTTACCGGCACGGCCTTCTCCATTAGATACTTGCCACTAAGTAAAGGTCTGTTGAGTGTATAAAGAGGTGGTAGATCTTCTATCTCTGCTATCCTCTGGTATACGGCTCTGGATAGATGATCCCCATGATATAAACTCCCCAAGATGATGCTAGAGAAGTAAATTGGCTCCACAAAGAGGCTAAGTAAGGCTCCTTGAATACCCAATACGTTCCACCTAAGAGGGAGGGAAAAACAAAACAAAACAAAACAAAAAAACACTTTCTTTTTAATGGAACAAGTAACATCTGCCAGACATAACAGCAGTCAATCACAACGGACCAGACTTTCAACTCTTCCTTTTGACCAGCACATGACTATGGTAGCATAGCTGTGACACCTGCCAGGATTTCAGAGATCAGGCTTATGTGATGCTCCATAAAATCACGAGTAAGATGACCTATAGCAACAGGTCTACTGTCAGCAACCACTTCAGGAGCAGACTCTGTAACTTTACTTCCCGACCGACGTGTCTGGTGATGCATTTGCCAACAGAAACAGTAGCTGATGCCTCCAAGAGATCCCTGGCAGTGGGCAAACCATTCTTTCCAGAAGGCAAGAAGGATTGTGTCGGCAAGACCTCAGCACCGTACAGGAAAGCTTGTCCCTGACACCCTACCCACACTGTCCACATCCTGCTGCCGGAAAGGACGTCTCTAGTTGCTTGCAATTTTCACAGGCAGGGAGAAAACCGAGTCTGAAAATATGCAAAGAGCCTTTGCTCACTTTAGCTGCTTCACAGGCTCCAGCCATAAATCCCTGTCTGCACTGCTGTGACCTACGTTGGATCAGGTCTGGTGGCAGGGATACAGCATGCAGAAGAGCAAAATACCAAAGGCTTTTTTGTAGCTGTGGTCAGCTGATCAAGTTTTGGCTCTCAATCTGTATGTAATAGTCATACAAAGTACTTCCTCAAACCTCAAAGCCTCCTGCAGAGTATTTTCTCTGTCCTTGCCTCCGAGGTATGCTTGTGAACAGCTTGGCACTATTAAAATAGCATACTTGAGTGCAACTGCAACACCCAGACACAAACAGCAGGGAAGTTGCTTTTGGTGCTTGAACAAAAGAGATGGGCACAATGGAAGCTCTTGTGCTCATGCACAATGGTTGTCCTTATTGAAAGGCCCATCCTAAACTGGGTTGGCTGTTTAGGCACTGTTTTCCCTAAAACAGGGAACTCAGACGCTGCTAACAGTGTTTCTTGCAGCTTGTGCTGGGATGGCATGGCTACACCTCATCATCATTTCAGGCTAGAAACTCTACAGCACAAGCGCTTCCCTAGCGCATGAATTGAACCACCTGTGTTGGCTGCAAGGCTTGCAAACTGATTAAAAACAAACCAAAAAAAAGGGTAAATCGAAAATTGCAATCCAAGGAAACAATTTCTTTGCATGTCTTTACTGAGGATGACAATGGAGGCAATGTGCATTAGCTTACTCACCTGTCGCTAAAAAAGCTGGCCTTAATGAATGAGTAAAAATACTGCGCTAATAAAAAATAAGGCATATTGTACATTGAGTAAAGGCACGTTCTGTATGGCACTGAAAATACAATCAGCAACCAAATGTCAGAGTAAAGATATCAAGTGAAGATTATCTTTCTAGTTATCTTCTAGCCAAGATGCCTTTCTGAGGACCTCACCCCGACTAGAAGTTCGTAAGCACAGAGGTATTCCAAGTGCCAAATGAATCACAACAGTATTTTCTTGTTACTTGCAGTATTACCTACATCAAGCATAGAGAAGCATATGGACTGCTACAGACACAGATGATACTATGGGAGAAACATCTGGAAAGGATTCAGGACTAAGCACTGCAAACTGCGGTCTTACGACTGTACCTGAAACTCGCAGACACACAAACCGCGCTTCCTTCAGGGACGCACAACGCGCTTTTCACAAACAGCACTTGAGGGACGGATGGACATTTTTAAAAAGGCCAAAGCATCCCTCTGGCAAGACCCAGCTCCCTAACCACAACCTCTGCCAGACCCTTCAGCCTCGTTTCCAGAGCTTGTGTTCTGCGCACACTCGGTGACCTTCTCCAGCGCAGAAATGAAAGCTGAACTTTGCTTTGCTCAACTTCTTTGGATTATAAGAGGAGGAGGAGTTTGGACACCTGAACAAGTTTCTGCAAGATGAACCGTATGAACTGGTATTACTTCTTTTACAGTTAATGGACCAAATTCAGTATTTCACTACAAACTGCGAGGTGCAGAGCGGAAAGAGCTGAATTCACTCCAGAAAACTTTCTTGAAAGTCAGTGATGCCTTTCCAGTGAAACGATCAAGCAAAGGATTTTTTTCTTCATGTTAAAAATAGTAGCAGAAAAGGGTTAAATGACTGAAGCGACTTAAATCTGGCTTACAAACTCCAACCTTCCGAGGCTCAGATGTGGTTTGGAACACAGAAATGAACCTTTCCACACCGCAGTGGAGCAGACGGACCCTGGCTGCAGCACAGTACTCACGTATGAGCCTTTGATGGCTCAAGAAAGCGGTGATGGAAAACAACTCTCCCATCACAAATTCAGCAGTTTAAATCTCTCCTGCCTTGGCCGTGGGCAAAAATGCCATGCTCCCACGTAAAACGACCGCATCTCGGGTCCAGTCTTGCTGGGCAGATCACAGAGCAGACTGCACCCGCGCGGTAATGTTTCTCACCACGAAAGCTGGAAAACGGCACCGCGTTTGCAACAGAACGGCACTAAAACACAAGTGTGAGCAGAATATAGGAATGCTGCATCACGCCAGCGGTGATGCTGAAAGGCCCACAGTAAGGCGTGTAGAAAAGAGATTTGCCAAAGGGGAGGAACACACCAGCAGGCAGGGAGACACCCTCCCATCTAAAGCTTCTCCAGGGAAAAATCTGAGACACTTATCTGAGCTCAGCATAAAACCAATGCCTCCTGTGACAGTATTTTACATATTCTGAGCATGCTGGTTTTAAGCTACTACAAGAAATTTTCTTTCACAACCTTTAAAAAACTTCAAAATAAAACTGACATTGAACATGCAAGCTTTTGTATTGATATAAAGCATGAGCCACAGGATTTAGGTCCAGACTGTCACCACTTACAGGTGCCTTGATTTGGGCTGGGGGTCTAGATCACATTATAGTTAATGGTGATTTACTCAGCAGCTGATTACGACCACAGTTGTTGGGCTGAACAGCTCTGCCTCAACAGCTCTCCCTCTCTAGTCTAATGCCAGGGAAACTGGGGAACCTGGTGTGGATGGGGATGCCTGCCAGCCGCGTGTTCAGCAGCCTGCAGTACGCTTCCAACTTCAACTCTGCAGTTCTGCAAGTGATGCACAGCTCAAGGAAAGGCAACCTGACGTGATGCCATAAAGTGCAAACAAAGGCCTATTTACTCATCCTGAACTGGCCTTTTGCAAGACAGAATGTCATTCAGAGTCACCAAGCAGTTTGGTTCACTCTCTACCAGGGGCTCATTGAGGTGGTGTTTAAGCCCTACCATGTTTGATGAGGCAACAGAATTTCTAAAGCTCTTCAAGCAGTAATTAGAAAAACACCTAAGCACGAGAAGGGAAACAAAAGCTGCGAATCAAAACCACAGCTCTCCTTTTTCCTCAGACAGGCCAGCAGACACACCACAGTAGCCCTTACTAGCACCTGGATTAGGAGGTTCAGAGCTCCCACCACTACACGTACCAGAAAAGCAGCAGTAGCTCATACAAGGTAAAAGAAATTCTACCTTCATCTGACTATCTGGCCACTGAGCAGCTCTGAACAGTTAAAAAACATAAGGAGGGTGAAGATGCTGTAATCTGCTGCTGCTGTAGTGTAAAGTTGCACCCCAACATTTATTTCCCCAGCACCAAACCTGATTGAAGAGGACTCTGCCTATCGCCAACTTCATCTTCCTCAGCCTGCTCATCTCATTGCTTGCACAGCTCTCCATAGTCAGGTCAGTGGCACGATTCAAGGGTTTTTTCTTTTTAAGAAAACCCCAAACTCTGGCCTTGTATTGTGAGGTTCACAGCTCTGCCAACAACGGCGGGACCCCTGCCGAAAGGCAGGGAGATGCAGCACTTGGGCATGGGTGCTGGGAGTCTCCTAAAACCTCCATCAGAGAACACAACACTGAAAACAGACTTCCAAACACTGCTCAGAGTGAGCTTGCTATTAGAAAGGAAACAGGCACTGGACAAACGACACTCCTTTCCTGCAGATATTCTTAAGGATTTCAGCTGGGCCACTCCGCTGAGCAACGCGATAACCAGGCAAGATGGAGCGACTGTGTCAGGAGCAGCAAACTACATCTGCCCTGACCAACTTACAACATGTATCCTTCTAGCACCTCTTCTTATTCCTCTCTAAACCCCTTACCATTTCATACTTTCATACATTCACTGCACTGAGGAAGAAATGATGCATAATTACATGCGGCTCTCTTATTTGGTATCAGGGTTATGATTTTGAAGAAATTTCCACCAAAGTTGTAACAGCAGATCATCTTTTCTAAGTCTTTTTCTTATATAAAAACTCTGCTTTCCACTGAGTATTTTTGTTTAGCATGAAAAATTAAGCCCTCTGAAAAATTCCAGGAGTGAACCAAAACCTACTTCAATTCAGAAACACTGCTGAGATGTCTCCTGGGAATATGGCTTGGGGTGCCTTCTATCCCCACTTTTAAAGCTCCCCGTGCATGCTTAGCTACAGTGAGACCAAAACACCAATGTTTCCCTGTCACCATGATTTTGCCATGTCCTCTACCTCATCTACAAGCTCATCTTGTGCTTGAGCATCCAGAGAAACGCTCTTTCAAAGCGCTACATCTCATCACCTTTACTGACTAAACCCCAACCACGGCCTTTGCAGATCCGTGAACGTAAAGTGCGCTCAACCCCTGACTGCTTACACAGGGGATACTCTGCGTAGTGAGCTCGCCTGAGGTTTTATAGAAGAGCATCGCATTGGGGAAATGTGAATTTTACACATTTATCATACCTGCTGGTTTCCTTATTCACCACTTGGAACCTATAGATAACAACCTGGAGGACAGACACTTTCTCAACCTTTCTGCTGTTCCCAGTCCCACTACATGGAAAAAAAGAGGGCAGAGAAACCAGAGACCAACACCAAACCAAGAGGAGCCCTCTCTTCCTTGCTGTGCTGTCACATTTCTGCTTTAGGCTCAGAGGCAAGGGTAACAGTGCTCTATCCTAAAAGGTCTTCATGGCGTAAGGCTGATTTCACAACCCTTAATACAGGAAAAAGCAAGTAAAATTTAACTCTGCAGCAGCACTTCCATAGTGTGCTAGTGCACCTCTTGCCAAAAAACCTGCCAATAATTATCCTGCAGACAGCAGTACGGAGGGGGCGAACCACTTCGCCTTGTGTTTACAGCGGTGTGCACATGGAACTGGTGTCAGAAGTCGCTGCAGGAAAACGAATAGCCTCCTGCAAATACCAAAATGAGAGATTACTGTTGGAAAAAAGAAAAAAAAGTTGTATTTATGATCGGATGCAACACCTGACAAAAGCAAGTGTTTACAATTCAAAGCCTGTCGTGGTTCATCGTTCCTGTGCAGGGACACTTAGAGCTGCTCCTTCAGCTCGGACTGGCAGCGGGCAGGCCGGGCCCCGCTTCCTGCGCCCACCCACCTAGCTGGGCTTCACCCTCGTCGCCTGGCAGAACGCACGGGCAGAGCTGGCTTCATTCTAACTGCAATCTGGTTTCTCTTCTGATTTTAAATCCAACTCCTCTCTGTTTCCTTAAGAGATCAACTGGATCTCTACGACCAGCCCCTGCCTTTCGGGAGCCACGGCGTAAGGAGGCAGCAACATCTCCACGTGGAGCGGAGTCAGAGCTTCGGCTACATCATCAGCCCAGGCTATGAACCCTAAGTGCAAGAACTCCACGGCCTTTGACAGTAGCGCTCCTCGCAAGCATCTTTTTATTTATCCCGAGGTCAGATCTGCAATCAGAGACAGGCGCATCTCTTTTCCCTTGTAGCCGTACCTAGGCGGGCAACCACACCGCCCTGACTTGTCCCAGCTCTCCTGCTGTTGCCGCATCTGCTGCACACCAGTGAGCCTGGGTCACGGCTCAGGCCACTGGTTTGAGAGGTTCCGTGATGCTACACCTGGTTATTTAGATGCCGCTTCCTGGGCAGCGGTTTCCTACCACTTTCCCCAGGATTTTTACCGAGGTGTCACACAGCCACCACGTGTCAAAGCAAATACATTCACAGCGGCCGCTGTCACTCGGGTTGGGAACTGCTCTTCCTATTCCTGTTCAGAAACCACGCCGGCTCCATCACAGAGCTTGCCACTGAGGAATAACTCTCAAAGGCAGCTGGATGGGCACGGACACAGCTGCAGAACATGCAGCCGTTAGCGAGCATGCGTAGGATTTTAAGATGTGCTTGTACACCTTCATCACTCCCAAAAATCTAGGTGGTAGGTCAAGAAGACCAAGCCATTGGGGAAATATATCGGGTTACAAACTTCCATTCGGATTTCGCACACTGAATAAGCACAAAACGAAGCCAGTGCACGGATACCTGATGTTCTTTCACACAGAACATTATCAGAAACAGTATTTGCCCTTTGTTAGAGTAGAACAGCACCAATGACTTCCCTTTTAACAACTCGACCTGATGTTAAAGCTCTTCCCAACTCCTACAGCCTTCCTACCAATGAAATGGAGTGGAAAAATATATTGCTCTTCTCAGAGACATTAGCCACAATGGGAATGTTTCATGAGAAGTTAAGTAATTATTTCAAGCCAAGAAACTTAAAATGAATGTGGGTGGAAAAAACACATCAAAAGGAAAATGACCAAAATAGACATCGTCAAGTACCATGGAACAAGGTTAGGATACATTTAAAACAAATGCATGTATATTAATATCCCAAAACAATTACTCTGGTCACAGACACCACCCTAACACCACACTGCAGTGCCACCAGCAGTGACACGATAGGATAATCCTGTTCTGATGCTTCTGACCCAAATGGGATTACACTCATGGCCTTTCCACGTTTCTGCAGTTTGACTTGGATGTTCCTACCAGGCTCAGGAGGGCGCTAGACAGCACACTGCAACAACGTGCCCGCAGGTGGAAACAACGGCTTGGATTATACATATAATCCACACAGATGAGGCTGTTCAGATACAAGGAGTTTTCCTGCTTGTGCAATCCTACACCCCGAATTTATCCACGTCTATTCCAGGCTGCAACCGTGAACCTTTGGGAAAGCTCAGTGGAAATTCACAGGGCTCAAGCATACTAGAGGACTGGCTGCTGGATGTTACAGAGCAATGCATTCTTTCAAATGTAAATGGACAAAACATGGTCATAAGTGTCAGGGAAATTTAAAAAAAAAAAAAAAAAAAGAAAGAAAAAAAGAATATGAAAATTTGGGCCTCCTTACCCGTCATACAGTCTTTGTTCTGTGTCAAGGGGTTCTATTTGCTTCCTTCACTGGCACAAACAAAATTATTCCCATTAGCCCCAAGGAGAGGTGACAGCTAGCTACGCAAGCGAGAGATGGATTCTGTTCTGCATCACACAAAATCAACAAAACAGTCAAATGTGTTCTAGCTCAACAACTGTCATCTTTTTTATTTTTTCATCTGCACTAACAGCAATGATGATGCGATAAAGAAGTCAAACGCATGTGGCATGATTAACCATGTCGAGTGGTTGAGAAAAGTCCCTAGCATGAAGCTGTGGAATTTGGTGAATTTTACTGAAAATACTATGAAAGAAACTGAAATGCCATTTTTTGCAGAATTACCTTTCAACAACCCACTGTCCTAGTTTCTGAAAGGCCCTATCCATTTATGTCAGGGGGATTTAAACTAAAGAAAAACGTCTTCCTTCAGTAGAGATGCCGATCACTTGAGACAGGACTAGAGGAACAAAGCAATTACATAACCTTCCTCCTGTATTTTTGATACCAAGTTCACAAGAACAGTTCCAACTTAATACACTTAAATACATCTTACATCAGGCTAGCTCTGACTTGACAAAACAGCAGACCTATTTCAATCAAAAAAATAACTAATTTATCATCAGCTGAAAAACTTGGTATTTCTCATCTATTCTGAAAGAACACAGAGGCTGAAAACACATAGACTCATTTCAAAAACGTACGTTGCTTGTTAAAACTTCTGACACTTGGTAAAGCGTGCTGCTGCTTATTTTATTTGTGGGGTAGTTATTTGCCCACTTATGATTTTGGGGAAAAAAAAAATAAAAATTAAATCTTTCAATCTTTGTCAAATAGGACAACAAAGTAGGAATTGGATAAAATATAAATAAAAGCACTATTATTAGAAACAAAATATTTAATTACAACAAAAATATTTAACCAAAATTAAAAATAATTGTAGAGTTCTGAGTGTCCATCAGTTAAGATTTTTTTTAACTGGAACACTTTTTCCCTATATTAAAGAACACAAGTCTAAATCTATCCACAAAAAATGTAGATATCTTTGATATCATAAAATCATAGAATGGTTTGGGTTGGAAGGGACCTTAAAGACCATCCAGTTCCAACCCCCCTGCCATGGGCAGGGACACCTTCCACTAGACCAGGTTGCTCAAAGCCACATCCAGCCTGGCCTTGGACACTTCTAGGGATGGGGCAGGGATGTGCATCATCAGAGGAACTTATCCAAATATAACTATCGTAATGTACTTATTGCACTGTTTTGCTAATGCTACACTATTTAGGGATGGGAAAAAAAAAAAAAGAACGAAAGCATTCCTCTGCTTCCTCCCCAGTGCTATAAATACAAAACCAAGCTGTTATGAGTTGAAGTGGCTGGACTGATAATGGTTTCACCTTGCCTCTGAAGACATCAGCAGGTCTAACACCAACTGCAGGTGAAGAAACAGAGCTTTATCACTGGCGTTACAGTCACCCCCATTTAAGCAATTATATCAGCCCATCAATAACCTGCACGCCCACGGCAGGCACCACGCAACCCTCCTTTCTTGTTCCGCAATAACAGGCAGTAGCAAAGAAGGCAATCACTGGATCTCTCACCTCGCAATCTTGTCACTGCAGGACATGGTAAGCAGCCTTTCTCCTTGCAGTACGCCATCCCAGGTTTGGATAGTGGTAGTAGAGCGCACGGGGATGGTCCCTTCCCCAGATTCTATTTTTGTCCGTAGCTGTCCTCTCGCTTTGCGGTTTGGGTGCCTGTCCCCTTGATCTAAACGACAAGAATAGCTTACAATCAGCTGAGAAACACCCTCCAAGAGTTTTACAGCTAGCATTACGACAAGAAGAGTCGTCAAGAAGAGGGTATTTGCCTGCGTAACCGCTGGCCTGAGTAACAATTTCTGTTGTTCACAGCAAACTAGCTACAGCATCAGACATCTCTCAAATACGGTCTTCTAAAACCCACTTGCTCTTAAACCAAGCTTTCCACAAAGGAGCAGCACGCAGCAGGTAGCTCTTCCATTCTGTTCCACATGTTACTGCGTTAGAATGAAGTTAACGGGCAGGTGAAGAAAGGGGCGGGCAGACAACCACCGTCGGAAGATGGAAACAGTGACAGGGTTCGGTGAGTTCCGTACAAACGGGGCCTGACCCACGGGCTTATCTCGGCCAGCATTCAGCCTCTTCAGGCCACAGTGGATCAGTCTGTACTCAACTCCTACCATAGCGGAAGAACAGCTCAGATATTACTTTTGGAGAGGTCTTGGTCTAACACACATCTACACTAAAGGGAAAGAAGACACCTAAATTTTAACTGTGCCGCTAGTACATGCTGAAAGAACAATTTAAACCCCCTGGCTTGAGTAGTCCCACCGTCATACCCTCTTGTGCTGCTTCGTGCGGTGAGAAAATCCTCGCGTCGCCACAGGGAGAGGTGCTGATATAGAGATGAAACTGCACATTCTCCTTCAGCTTAAACCCGCCTCGCTCCGATTTGATAAAAATGGATTTTTGTTGATCTTCTTTATTGCTGAAACCGAGAATAAAGCCAGAGTCAAAACAGACATTAACATGTGAATAAGCCGGGTGGTCTTAGTAGGTATTAAAAGCCAACACAGGATGTCTGGAAATTTAATAGTATAAATCTAAGTTATTACAATTAACAAGATGAAAAGACCATCAAGAAAAGGAATAAAGAGCCCTTGACATCCCCAGATGGCACTTACCAGCAAATGAAACACCATCACCCTTTCACCCACTTGAGATTATTTTGATTTACATGTTTACAGTTTACAAAACGATCCCCGGTTATTTTTCCTCTCCTCCCTCTCATGACTGACACCGAACTGAACACACGCCTGGTTGAAGTCAAACTGTAGGGCAAAGGGCTGGAGTTCTAATTTAAACATCCTAATGCAACAGGACAAGCGTTTCACGTTGCAATAATTAAGACAGATGTTTTACACAGACACCTTTTCAGCTCCACAGGATCAGGTCATCTTCCCTCTCCCTCCAGCTTACCTTAGATAAAGCTCTAGTTGTGTATACAGAAATTTAAGCAGGCACCGACGAGATATAATTTCTGCATGGCAATCATTTAATGCAAGACCACGATCACTCATGTATTCACCGTTGATGCATTTTGTTCCTGTAGAAACACTTATTACCAGGGCATCTTTCACATCTGTACCTGCAAAACGAAATTTCAGGAAGAAGATACCATTAAAATCACAAATAACCTAGCACTTTCAACGTACCACAAGCACCTGGAGTTGAGGATGCTCCCATAACCACGTGGCTGCACAACAGGGCTGCACAACAGCAGTGCCAATACAAGTGGCATAACTAGTGATTAGCAAGGGAATTGGTAATTGAGTAATTGAGACATGGACTGCTTGAGCAGTCACTCCTGATGAAACATATGGCCTTAAACAAATGAACCTGAGCCCAGCTGCCCCGTCCTGCCCGCAGGAGAAGGCCATGGAGAAGCAAGGAGCCGCTTCACGCAACAACACAAGGCTCTGCAATGGGCTCATCCTAATTCCAGAGGTTCCTCAGACACATATCCATGCAAATATGACTTCTAATTCTGTGTAAAGCTCTTTCTTCAGTTAATCAAAATGTATGCACATGTTAATTAAGCCTTAATTCTTTGGTCACATGGCTCTTTTGGGAATTGTGGACACAGGACTAAATACACTAAAAACCATTAAATATCACAAAATATATCAAATAAAACTATAGCATGTTCCTCACATCTCCCCTGCCTCCAGAGCACGCAGTTGTCATCTACCCTACCCAGCATCCTCAGACCTCAGCAAGGAGACGTCTGCTCTGGGGAGGAGGCCCCTACAAACATTCCCCACGGGAGGAGAGGGTTGGCATTGCCCAAATCACCAAGGAAAGCTACTGTGCAGCCTGAAGGGCCAAGAAAAATGCCCACGGCACATGCTGCGTGAAGGCCGCTCAGCAGCAAGGTGCCTGCACATCTATCTCCGATATCCGTCTGACTCCTACCACTAACGGGGGCCATTTCATGACAGGCCCAAAATGAATCTCCCATCACGGCTTCTGATGGATTGACGAGCAAAGTAAATCATAGCCTGAGGAAAATTCAGCAGCAGAGTGGATGCAGATCAGCTTAGGGCAGAACTTTTTGGGTGCTCTGGCAGAACACAGATCTCGTGCCAGCAATCGGAGCGCCGCGGCGTTGCTGCTGTTTGTACACACACGCCAGTGTCAGCTGCCCAAGCACACGCTGCTTTCCTCCGACACCTTTACAACGACGGAGACACAAAGCACCAAGAATAAAATAGAGCAAGAATAACTCAGCCAAAGGCAAAACCTTAAAAGCTTGGAAAGAAAGCGTAATTTCTTAGACAATATGCCAAAACCCAAGAATGCCATCTGGGTGACTGATGCGGTGGAATTTAGTTTAGATTTACTTTCAACAAGTTGCATGATTTTAAAAGGTACATGTACGGGTATTCTGTAGACTATGAGTTCTCTCAGTTGTCTCAATCGGGTAGAAGACAGGAACTCCATGTAAACAGGAGGTATTATGCAGGTCTAATTTTCCTGTAATTATCTTTAGCCAAGATTTAATTGGTGTATTCAGTGCACCCTGAAGATGAAATAGTAAAAGTATGTTTCGATGCTGGTTGACTGAAATAAGATAGTTTCCTAGAATGCAAACAGAGCTCTCTTATTCAAGCAGTTAAAATTGTACTTTTTTTTTTTCCCCTTTACCTGTTGTCATGACAATTCCAGCAAGGACTTTTCTACGTGCATGTGGAGATGTGAAATTTTCTGTCAAATCACTGAATTTATCTACAACCAGGCGTGCAACAGCATCAGCTAAAACCTGTAGGATCACACAGAAACGCACATTAGAAAACCAAATAATTTCAAAATCACTGCAGCATTAGGTTGTAAAGATGCACGCTTTTAAATTATTTGACACAATTAAAATCAATGACTGGACATTGAGGCATCAGCAGTATGCCAAGGAGGTGCCTGGGTCCAACTGTCAGGCATATTGAACACTCGCAGGTGGAAGCAGAGCTCTCTGTGCCCCACGTCTATTAAAACAGGGCCAGGCAGCCCTAAGCCAAACATCACAGTACCTAATGCTCACGACCGTTATGAACACTTGAGGCTTTGGAGAACAACTGGATAAACAGAGAAGTCTGTGCTTTCAGGCTCAAACCTCAAAATGCATGATTTCAGTATCCTCAACATTGGACCCAACAAGAAGATTGAAGTACAAAACCCAGGGTCCTCAAACTAACACGTAAGCCCTTTATAACGATCAGATTAATAATGTAGCTCTTACATAAATAAATAAAATTAATCTGTTTTCCACACTGGTTAAACACTTTCGGTTTCTTATTTTTACAAGATATATATAAATTTAGGAACAGAAAATCTCAGTGTGAACCCCAAAATAAACTACCTCAAAATTCGGAAGGATTCCTCTTTCACCTTCAGGAAAGCTTGAACAGTAGCAGTCACAGCCTTGCTGGATCTTGCCAGCAGGGTCAGCAGGCAACGTCGGTCAGACTTTAAGGGGGGCTAAATTCTAATTTCAAGGAAAACTTCAAAATAGCAGTCCTGCTCTTGTTGAATGACGGTTCAGTTCAACGCTGCAGCTAACCTCACCTGCTGTTTTTGAGGCAGTTGGAACTGTAACAGCTAGAGAAGATGAGTCAAGATCAAGTTCTTGAATTTTCACCTGAAAAGAAACTGGAAACCAGGGCAATCTATAAGGCTGCACTGCTAGCACAGCTGGTTGCTCGCAGAGGAGCAGCTGAGAAAGGCAAGTTACACATTAGATGGTGTGATGTTGGTCCCCAGGCTGGCAGGAGAGGCAGGGCAGCCCATCCCCACTCATCTTCTGCCAGCACTGGGACCAGCAGCCGGAGAGGAGGAGCGGACAAGCCCAGGAAGGGAGCTCAGGTGCCTGTCTTGGAGTGCCAGGTATCAAGAGCTTAATCTGGTTCTCTGTGTGTTGGCACCCAGCAGTATCCGAGATGTCTAGGGCAACCGTCTGGCCCACAGGCTGACACACCAGAAGGACACAGGCCCCATGTCACACCTGCCAGCACTGTGAAGATGTCTCAGACACCCAAGAGCATCCAAAGTGGTGCTAAACAGACATGCAAACAACTTCATCAAGCCCAAAAGGATGCTCGTGGCTGAGAGTCTTCTGCTTACAGACCGTCTTTGGGCTCTCAGTAACGGAAGATGACCACTCTCACCCCTCCAAGGTGAATCAACAGGGTGGCAGTACAGGGAGCTTGGAGGCACCCACTTGAAACGGCACAAACTCTTGGTCACCATCAAGTCTAAAATCAGACTGCCAGGGTCAGAAGAAAGAAAGAAAAGGAAAAGAGGGTTTGAAGACTGCCCGCCTGACACACCAACATTTTCTTAACAATGTTCATGAGAACTGACAGCCTAGAAATAACGTGGAGGAGCTCTCAATGTTAACTTCCTTCTGAAAAAACTTTAGCAGCCAAGGAAGCAATAATCAAAGCTCGGGTGTCATGATTTCAGAGCTCAGCAGCTTCTTCCAGCACCTGACTGGGGACGGGAACCAGCAGTCCGGGTTGACTGGGGTCACATGTGCACCAAGCTTCGCTCAATGTTTTGCAATTGCACTTAACGTTGAAAATACACATTTTTTTGGGACGAATTTGAATGCACCGCAACTCAGAAACTCTTATCAACAGACTGAGAGATTTTTCAGGATCACAGTTTTGCTCAGAAGCTACGAACATGTCTGGTCAGACACCAGATGACCTGTAAAGGTCCTTTCCAACCCAAACTGTTCTACGATTCTATGATTTTCAAAGAAGGTCTTTCTGCTGCTGGACCCAAAACTGCATTACAATCTGTGCTCTGACAGCACCGTGAGCACGCAGCACAAAATTTGCATTTAATTGTGCTAGTACTTACCTAACGCAGAAAGCTGAACTTGAAGGTAAATATACAAAAGGAAGGTAATGAGCAACAGTTTCATTATCACTCTGGTTTTAGAAATGGAAAATTAATACACAAAAAGCTTAAATGATTAACATCCCTGCAGCCATGCAGGCAGATCACCGCAGGGACAAGAAACAGAGTCCTCATTCCAGTGTTTTATCCACAGCCCCCCCTGCATAATTACAGGTACTGCTTCCCAGCTGCAAGTTTTATGCTCTCATTTCGGCAATATATATGTTTTTCTTCTCTACCTTACATCACAATGTGCTGGACAGGAGAAAACAGTTGGCAGCCGACAAGCTACCAGGCAATGTAAAGTCTATTGCAGAACCAGTGCAACAAACTTTTTGAGATAGGGATGGACCTTATCCACAAAGAGAGGCTTTGTAGCCTGCTAGAAAGGCTTGCCATCCAGGTAGTAAACAAGATGGGTCACCCCTCCTCCAAAAACCAGTAAGCATCATGACTGGCACCCGGAGGAGTCTTCTCCAGTGCTCGGACTGGACAAAAACACAAAGTCCAGCACACATCAGAAGTGGCAATTCCAAAATCCTGAACCAAAAACCGACCAGTTGTCAAGGTACACAGAGGAACACTGCTTCCAGGGTCACCAAACACGGGACACTCGCTACGCAGACCCTCATCTGCCCAGACAAACGGAGGCTGATCTACCCACGTGATCACACATCCCCTGGGTGAACCAGGGCTGGCTCGAGGAGGTTCCCACCAAGAGCTGGGAACCGAAATTGCCAGGTGTTTCTGGGAAGAAACCCACGGCCAACTTCCCTGCCAGTACTGCTGACAGAAGGGCTACTTGAACAGCAATCGGGCAGGATGCTTGTCTACAGGGTGGATACATTAGCTTTTCCCAAAAAGGTGTTTGTGGGGTTTTTTGTTTTGGTTTTTTTTTTTTTTTCCACATAATGAACGAAGCAGGAGAAACTGTGGTGTTGGTATACAAGCGAGAACATGGTGAGTCCCTCTGGGAAGACGTAAGCTGGCACAGAAGGATGGGAGGGGGCTGCACCTCAAACAGCGCGGAACTAAGCTGCTGGCAAGGAAACCTAAAAACGCTTGAATCAACATGAAGCCAGACGCTGGGGAGAGCTGATAAGAAGGACTAAGCAGAACTCCATCGAGTCAGAACGACCACTAGAGATGCAAACAGTACAGGAGGAACTGTAGGCAAGGGGGGGAAACCACTGCCAGAAAATAGGCAGATATGTTAAAGATCGCTTTATTCCATTTGATACTCAAGGTGCATGACAGCATGCGGGTGGTGAGCAATAAACCTTATTAAATGTCTACAGATTTAAATACTAAGGTTTTAGTCTTTTATAGGAATATTCACCTAACAAATTAGAAGAATCAGCCTTTTCTTCTAGATGGCTATTACGTTAATATAGCTAAGAGTCCCTAAAAGCATGGACCGGATGGGAATAAGGCAGGCTATGAGCAGCCCACTGCAGCACCAGGAACATGACTTACTGACCTAAAACGATGTCCTTGCTGTCCCCATCTCAAAGTCAAGAACTTGAAGCTGTCTCCACACCAAGCCCAGGCCACTGACCAGCCTGGGTAGGGATCTCTCACTTCTCGTTCTGACCCTATTCCCTTTCATATAAGTAAATATAAATTGGAACAGAAATTGAACTTGTGACTCGCCATCCCAGTGAGTCCCCTAACATCTGACATACAATTTCTCTACCCCCACTTGTGCAATAAACCATTATTCAAAGTTGGGCAATTCAAAAAAGGAAAGACTTAAAATAGCTGGCAGTTGGCTCGTTAAGGCATGTGAGCTCACAGCTATTTTGGGCGCATTGTTCCTTTCTCTGATGAAGTTACACTGAACTCACTTTTCTGCTGAAACAGACTGATTTTGGTTAATATTTGCAGCATTGTTGTAGCAGAACCCCCCTGACCATCCACGTTCTAAAATACTCCGAAGCTGGTGAAGTTCAGGTCAGTCTGAATCCGAAGGAAGCCCTTGGCAGGCCAGAGAGACCACCCTGGAGGAACGCTGGTGAGTGGCGCGTGCTGGAACCAGAGACAGTGGGATCAGGGGCACCGCGTGGGCTGGCAGCTCGCAGCTCTCACTGGGGACCTGGCCCAAGACCTCCCAGCCTTCTGTGCTCTCCTTGGAGCTCTAGTCATCCTTCCAAGGAACAAAGTTCTCTCTCTGCTTCATTCCTTCTCACCATCACAGCGCAGGGCTTATGTGAACGTTCACAAGCTGATGAGCAGTGGCAGAGCCCACAGCAGGTAAAAATCAAGGTCCGTTTTCTCTCCTCTGACAGTGAGCAGTACACACAATTCAGAGAAGGTACAAACATATCTATGCCAATAAAACGGGGTAATTATTTTCTGGTGCTCCGAAGTTTCCTGTATTTATTTAAAGGAACTGCTACCTGGTAGCAGACTCTCTCCCTGCTGATGCAAATGTATCTTTTACAATTCCACAGCAATTATTGCAACCTATTACTCACTGATTCCCACAAACACAGAGAGTATTACCTTTTTGTTAGGTTTGAACCCGTTACATTCTCATCCTCCTGTATACACTAAGCAGCCTATTGCAATAAACTCCCTAGAGCTCTTCGGTACCTCTGCAGAAGCAGCTTGCCCAGATCTTCACTCATTTTCCTCATTAATCTGCATGTCTTTCCTGTATTTGAAAACTTTTACAGTTTCTCCTCACCCCAGGCTGAACCAGGATTAACGCAGCACTTCAAGGACGAGCAGCCATTGCAGTACTGGTTCTCATTCCTTCCTTCTGCTTAACATTTTGTTTCAGCGTGTGTCCACAATGATGTACACAGGACAAACAATTTGTAACGCAATCAGGTGAGTGATTAAAAGTAATCCCTCCAGTGGATTTTTTAAAATCAATTCCATTTGCAGCTACACTGCTTATTTGTCTAGCACAAGTGGCTTTCTCTCACGGTAGTCCAGCTTTCACTAATCTAAATAACCCTATTTTTAAGCTTCTGTGTTTACAATTCAAATTTCAACCTCTTTGCATCCTGACTAATCGGCTATCTTTTTAAATAAACAGCTTGAGGAAATCTGGGAAATAGCATCATAAAGCTTATACAGAGTTTTTCCTAACAGAGGTCATCGGTGGCCTGAAGAGGCTACCTCCAGCAGCAGGTTCCTACCGTTGGATGGAAACCCTTTCCAGCAACGCCAGAGTAGTGGAAGTCACCGAGTGCCCTAGGGCACAGCAGGATGCGTGCTGCGCTTCAGAACACCCCAGATGAGACTCTTCTTCCCGCAACACATCCTTGAAGAGTGGAACTTGCTGCTACGAGGTGCTGTGGAAGCTAAACGATTACAGATGGTCCAGAGAGTGTTGAAATTAATGGGGGATGTGCTGGGTTCAGCCAGGAAAGGGTTAACTCTCTTTACTGTGGCTGCTAGAAAGCTGTGTTCCTGGATGCAGGGAGCAGCACTGATCAGTTCTTAGCCAGCACTGAGGAATGTCTGTACCAGTTTCAAGGTCTTTTCTCCGCTTCTGATACTGCAGCTGCGTTCCCAGCTCTCGCGGTCTCGCTACAATAACCCATTAAGGATTCCCAGATGGAAAGACACCGTTCCTAGCTGAGGAACTCCCTGAGACACAAACTGCGGGAGGTTAGAAGCACGTAAGGGGGAAGTACTGCTACCAACACGCCCGTTCCCCATGTGTTATCAAGGCATTTGGTACTGGCCGAGGTAATACTTTTAGGGACAGCACCAGCCCACCCTTGACAGAGGAGTGAGACCCCCCATGGCCTACCGTGGGAAGCAGGGAGCGTCTAAGGGAACCCAGCTGGCGGCCAGTCACCAGTGGTGTTCCCGAAGGATCAGTACTGGGGTCAGTTTTAATATCATGTTGAGTGACTTACTGGCTTTAACTCCCTTTCCCAGCAAAGGGATTTTCCTCACCACAAGCAACACCGTTTCATCCCTCGCAAAAGGTCAAGGTGTAAGCAAGTAGATGAGCTCGCCTTGCAGAGACTGGTTTTAAACGTATTAAACCATGGGGTCAGCACCTCGATCACCTGCCCTAGAGAGGGTGAGATTACACCCACGTCCGGTTTATAAGCTGATGTCTGCTATCAGCTGTCCTTCCGTACCATCCGATACCCACACGTGTATTTCTGCATCTGGTTTCCTCCGAAGCGCCTGCAGCTAACCGGGAGGTGTGGGGTCACAGATACGTGTTTCAGCCGATACTCACGGACACCAATGGATCATCTCTCCTCTGCTCCATTGGTTTTTCCCCACAGGGCACCACAAATCAACACACCAGCTACAGGCAGGTTTTGAACCTGTCACCCAGGCAGTCAATTCCGACATGTTCATCGGCACAACCGTGCCGTACTTTTATTATTTCCACTAAGCATCTGGTATTTGGATTTTTCCTCTCCTTGCATGTTTCTAGCTTCCATTTTTTTCCAACCCAATCAGCATTTTATTTGGTCTCTGGGTTATATCCTCATTTACATGATTCCTGTACTCTCAAATGTTTGGCACTTCGGGGTTATCTCCAAATTTAACATCTTTACACATCCTGAGTAAACACTCTAAAAAAAATAAAACAACTCACAGATTTAAAAAAAAGATAAAGCAGGACCCAAAACCACCAGAAATACTTAAATCCCTTATTAATCATTAATACATACCAGACCAAAATCACTAATATGTAACAGACCTGACATAACTCCAGTAACTTCACAGCTAATTATAATTACAAGCAGAGTAATACAACACAGCAAAGTGCAGACAGGAAAGCCCAGCACGAAGCCCCTTAAAGAAAAGGGGCTGTGTAAGCTGTTATACACTGGGCTCAAACAACTTCACCTTCCGAGAATGACACCTCTTTCATGGCTCACCTTGTGCTCTTTTCCACTTCCCTACTTTCATCATTTTCCTGATTCAAGAACCAGTAACACATATTGCTTGCAGTGGAATTTTTTTTGGTGTCTGGGGCCAAATCTACTTTTAAAAGCACAGCACAGAACACAGTCTGAAATTACTGACTGCTGAAGAAACTGTGACTACCTGAAATAACATGATCCTGGATATTTGCAAAGGCAGGAAACATTCATCAATAATGCTGTAATTGTGCAACGTTAGAAAGCAAGCATATAGGAATTTTTAAACGGCGTATATTGTCCATGCATTTTGAGAAAGCAACATACTTAAAATAGTCACGACATCTACATGCACTCTTCAACCCCCTATTATCAAATCAGACCTCTACCTTGTAATTTTAATGAAATCTAAAGCAATGTTTTTGAGATAGAAAAGGTCAAAGCCTTGAAATTCTCATAATAAACTAATCGAAAGTTGCAAAAAAGGGACACAGGCAAGTATTTGCATTCAGACAGGCCTATATCATCATTAAAATGACCCAACACGTGCAGGAGAAAGAGGGCAGTTGAAGCACCATTACTGTGCTTTGAGTGGAGAGAGACAGAGGAAAGCAAATAAAGGAGAATTTTTCTTCATTAAAAAAAAAAAAAAAATTGTAATTTCTCCATTCTAGCTACTTCAAATTTCTGGTCTATGCCTGGTGTGTTTGATACTTTCCCTAGGTCATTGGTTATTTGACTTGAACTATTTCTCATCCAGATTTACTTGCCCAGGTAACTTACATTCACTTAATTTGATTCGAACACAATCTTTTAGATAACAGCTGTTTAACCACAAGTCTTAGATACACCCACTGCGAGTGGGTCGTTGATTTAGACACTGGAAATACATGGTGACAGAATTAGCCTCACTTAATCCGTCCTTGACTTCCATTATTCAGCTCTGTTAATGCCAACAATTTCAGTCTGCAGAAAAGAACAATTTCCTTTCTCTGCTAAGAAACCATCATATCAAATAATTTTACTTAAAGCAGTAATTCTGACTTGAACTCCATCTAAGTCTTGCTGCCTAAGATGAGCAAAATGGGATTCAATCTTTCCTCAGCACAAACCATAATCCAAGCTGGCACCGCGCTGGGCTTGGTGCTTTCTTACGTGACGTGATCAAGGCTGAAAGCATCAGCAACAAAGCCTCCTCTCTGTCTCATGGAACACAAAGAGCTCATGCAATTGTCAGAATCCATAAGTGGATAAATCACCTAATACATATATACATGCATATCCATATATATATATGCACACACACATCTGCAGAAGCAGAGTAAACAGCAGAAATGTTGTTCAGGCTGACCAAATACACGACTTGGATACTCTTGGCCATTACCCAAAGACATCAACAAAACCCAAAGGGCTTCTTACCTGGGGCAAGTGTAACTGGAGCCCCTCACTGGGAATGGGCTGTCGAGATGGGGTCTGGTCCAGCTGCATGTTAAACAAGGATGCCAGGGCTGACTGAGCAGCCCGAGCTTTTGCCAACTTTTTATTCCTTCCCGAGCCTTCAAAAGTCTGACCGTCTACTGCCACGGCCATGACAAAGTTCTTGGCGTGGCTCTCCCCGCTCTCCGAGAGAAACTCGTACTTCAGGCCCGGCCGCAGCTCGTTGAGGATCATGACGGGGTTCTTCCCGCTGGCGGAGGGGTAGGGCGGTGGTGCGGGGAGAGGAGATTGGGAAAGGCTGCTGGCTACAGCAGATGACGGCAAACCGTAGTCCACGCTAGAGCTAAAGGACCCATCCCCATTGGACCCCAGGTAAAAGGAAGCATCGGAAGGGACCGGTGTTTCGAACCCGTTGAAAAGGGTGTCAGGGAAGTCCGCTTGGTCAGAGGTGAAGTCCGTGTTGACTGACAGAGTCCTCCCCATCGCCAGGTGGGCTTCCGAGGCGTTGGGAAACTGGACGAAAGACCGCAGAGCCTTCTCGGCGGCATGAAGCTTGGCTTTCTTTTTCGTCGGGCCAGAGCCCTCGAATACCTGCCCGTTGACTTCGACTGCCATCACGAACATGGGGGCATGGACTGGCCCTGTCTGGGAGAGGAGTTTGTACTGTAAACCAGGTTTAATCTCATTAAGTTGCATCAGGGCATTCTTTGGCAGAACGGGGCCGGGCGTTTTCTTCCTCTTCTTCGGGCGAAATTTGGAGTGGCCATTGTTGCCCTCCTCCAAAGGCCGCTTCCTGCTGCTGCTGCCAGCGCCGTTGGGGAGCTGCGTCCCCTCCCCGGCACCTTGCCCACCGCTGTCCTTGGGGGGAACGTTGTCCACGTTGCGGTTTTCTTTAACATCAGTGCTGCTCGAACCTGCGGTGCCCAGAAAGAGTAACTTACAATGCCTTCGGTGCAGGATCTTGTAAATGCAAAATTTATAGATTCCTTTATCTCTCTTTGTAACTGGTTAAGTGATGTGTGCTCACAGGGTAAATGCTTTTCAGTGTGGTCAGAGGCAAGAACAATGCAACACAACTTCTCGATAGTACAAGGAGTAACACATGCAGGAGTGATTTTCAAACTATGCATTTGATACAATCATATAGCAACAAAACACTTCAGTTTTGGGGTTTCTTTTTAACATTTAAGTCATGCTCTAACAAAACTTTTACTCTTAAGTTACATTTGGCCTGAAAAATGCTTTAAACCAGTATGGTTTAAAGCAGCATGGAACAAAAACTACCATTAGTAAAATAAAAATGGATGCTTAAGACCAGTAATAGGAAGTGGATATTTAATTCTACTTTATTCTTAGTTAATTCACGAGACAATTTTTCCTCAGCAATTTTAGTTGCTCAGTTTGAGAAATAACATAAATAAAATCCAAGCCACGAAAAAAAAAAATCACTCAGCTCTTTGTAGGCACCTTGACTGAAGAGTGCTTGAATCCTTTTGTTTCTCTTTAGCTATCCCATATTCTCTGAACTGAAGTCTTTTTTACGCTTTTCCTAAACTTTCATTTCACCTCAGCCCAATGTGCTCAGGTACTACAGCTGCCCCCTGGGCCAGCACGACCACAAGACTATTTATGTGTTTCCACACAGCCTTCTATTAAGAAACCTTATGTGTGTCATTTACAAGCTGTTTTGTAATTCCTTGCAAAGTAAGACAACAGCTGTCACAGAGTTACAAACCCTAAACCCACAGTAAGTGTGACAAAAGCTGTGCAATCACAATGATGACAATGTAATGGGGAAAAAAGTCACTGTAATATTAATTTAATGATTTATTTTCTGAAGTAGACAGTTGGGGGAATGATATGTCAGAGAGCTATTTAAAGAATGATATTTGCTGTAACGGCAAAGATCTCATTTTTACCCTGATAAAGAAATAAATCAATTATTTGTGCTATATACTGGCATTTGTGAGTGAAAAGGCAAATCTAGTAGGTCAAGTATTTCTAAATCTTCTGCTCCAAAACTTCAAAATACCTGTATTACATCTACACTTACACTAGGTGATAAATACTAATTGAAATGAGAGCAAGCCAAGGTGGAAGCTCTCTTTCAGTGACAAATTTCAACCACACTTGAAGTCTTCCCTAAAAATCCCCTACCATGCACACATCACTTCGCCCAGGTTACAAAGCTGATGGAATGGTTACTAAATTTTCATTTATAACATCCTCCAGCAAAAGCTCGATAGGTTACTCCTTTCGGTGCTCGAAGAGAAAAAACAGAAGAGGAAAAAAAACAAAAAAAAGATGAAAAGAAAAAGCCAAAGTAGGAACACATTTTGTTAAATCACAGTAGCACAACAAAGAATTGTAAAGCAGTGAACACTAAATTCCAGTCAATGAAATCTGGTCAGGAATGAAATACTACATATTCTGAAACATTTTCATTGCTAGAAATCTAATAAATTGCTAGAAATTTAATAAAGTATCTCATGTAATATTCAGCCACAAATTAAATTGCCTGCAGAGTATGTGCTATAAGGTCACAAATGTCAATACAGAGTGTTCAGGCATACATATTCTTTATATACCTACATATATATACAGTGAAGGAATCTAAGGAGAATAGAGTGAATTTTTAAATCTTTCCTTATAGTGAGTTTCTTACCTGAAGCTGTAATCTCCAAAAATTACATCTCATCTAAAACACCATTTCTGGAACACTTGCTCTTACTGGTGGCACCAGGAATTTGCCATCAATCAGTATGACTTTCAGGCTAACCAAAATAATTTAGTTAGCCCTAATTAACAGCCTCTGCTTTCATCTTTCTTTTTACACGAGACTACTACCAGTGCCTGCAGAGACCACAGAAGGAAAGTAAGAGTTGAACAGACTCCAGCTGAACGTAAGAAAACAGAACTTTTGCATGGAAGTACAGCAGCTGGAACAACCCCTTGAGCCATCTTGTGACACAGGTAGGGGGAATGATGCCCCGACAGAGGGGGACGCATAGGAAGCAGGAAAGAAACTTGTATGCTTACCTTGTCTCAATAAGAAAGAAGGGAAGAAAACTACTCCTTGCCTGAAAGCTACTAGGCTTGTTAGCCTTGGAGAACCTGCAGGGCAGAAGAAACTAGGAGAGAAAGCAAGCAGGGAGCTAGCAGCCTGAGCCAAACCTGCAGCCTGTCAAAGTTGGCAAGTTCCGACATTGTGGAGCTGATCCCAATCTAGGACTTGCACGTGATGCTAAGAAAAAGGCAAACCAGAAGGACTCGGGTTTGCTTCAGCCCACAGAGTCACAGGACTGCAAGAGCGAGCAACTGCTGCTCGGGCTGAGGGTGAAGATGTGCTTTTGGTCCTTTCGTTTAGCCTGTCCTGCCCAGCAGCTGTGAGGTCCCCCGATTACCTTAGGGCTGGAGAAAAGCTGACTGACAGATTAGTCAAAAAGTCAGATTAGCTATCACCACCTGTTAAAGCCAGAGAAGTCCCATCTTGTCCATATCCAGACATGGAGTAACTCATCCGGCCCAGCCTCTCCCTGCTGGTCAGAAACAGCTATCCCTTTTCCAGGCCTCTCACCTTGTTATCAAAGTTAGGAACGGCCTTACTTGCTCATCCTCTGCTGGCCCAGCTCCCCATCTGCAGGAGCGCCAGCAGCAGACCCCAAGAAAGGGTATCAAACCAGAGCAAGGTGCCCTGCACTTCCCCAGGGCAGCTGCTCGGCCTGCAGGGAGCCACAGCCGTGGGCTGTCCCACAGAACCTGGCAGGGAGCCACCGATGGGTTCCCCCCACACCTCCCAAATTTTTCTACCTGCTTCTCAAGACCCTGTAAGCCTCAGTGTCTACACAATGCATGTAAACATCCCCCTCTGTGTGCTTTGAACCCCCATCTGCTAGTCTCACTTAAGGCATCTATTGCTTTTTATTTGCTATTCTTTCCAGTTTGGTGATTCCAATATTAAACACTCTGTGCTTCTCATCATTTTACAGATATCTCTAGCATTTCAACCTTGTCATCCCTCCTTTACATCACTGGGCTCTAGTGTCCCTTGCCATCCTCCTCTTCCCACAGCAGCAGAGCCACAGCTGGATGCACTGTACATTTGCTATCCTTGCTCTATCTTGCAGTCTTTTTCATTCTGGTAATACATTGCTTTAGAGACCCTAGGACATTGGGAGCCTCTGACTCATTCCAAGGAGAATGAGGAAAGGCATCTTCACCCCTCAGAAGCTCTGGCTGATTCAGAAGGAACCCATCATAGCTCAAACTGGGAACAATACTCAAAAGGAGCGAAATTTTATTGCTTTAAAGCAGAGGTCATGGCAGATGTGGACCACCATTCCATGCATCTTCTAAAAAGCAGCTTAGATCATTTCAAAGTTCATCAGTCTGAAACCAACATTAAGCCTTGTGCTGCCGGCATCACAGCTAACAGAAGGCAGGAAAATGGGAACTGTGAATGTTAAATCACTATCATACAACACATAGGAGAGAGCTGGCAGGAAAAGAATTACTCGCTGAATTATTAAAAAAAAAAAATCTGTGTTCAGTAATGGATGCTCTTTATTATCCTTTTTTCATTAAACTTTTATATGTTAACATCATATATATTGCTTCAGAAAGGTTACACAATCTTGATAGATCTCCAAACATACCCAGAAATCAAGAGGTTTAAAAACAGCTTAATCCTAGATTTTAAATATACTTCCAAGTCTATGCATTTCCCAATCTTTAAATAAGTTTTCAAGGAAGGAATGCTTTAGAGAGCCCTCTGGGGCCCACCATGGCTGCTGTGTATTCAACATGTCAAAGTAGCATTAATACAAACACTTGATAACGGGATCCGGTATTTTTAAATGTTAATACTACCCAGGATTTAAGAATAAGATGTTTTTCATAGGACTAACTTATTTTCTAGTGACTAAAAACAGTTGGCAGCTTCGATTAGAGATTTCACTGATGCCTGTAGAAGCTGCTTTGGTAAAAATCATAGCTGACAGTATCACATGCCAACGACTTCAGTGGAAGAGAAGTCCTGCCCCCGAAATCTCGCTTGGGAGGCTTACAAACCCAACAGCACTCAAAGGAAGAAAGAGGCACAGGAAATTTTCATGGCAGTAAAGAAAGAAATCTTCTGTCCGAGTGTCGGTTTATTTTTGGTTTTATTCCCTGTAATTAAAAAGTGACTGTAATGAAGATGCTTATCTATGGGGGAACTTGCATTGCCTGCTTGCTGAGAGACAGCACTACACCTGCTCTGTCTGATCCGGAGCACGCTTAATGAAATTTAGGTGACTCTTGGCTGAACCAGAAGATGTTTCTAGCTACCCCTTATACTGCTGCTCTCATTTTCTGCCTGGGGAAATCATAAATAAGCATTTTTTTCATTAAAAACAGGCAGAAAAGCCCCACTGTGATCTCTTCTGAGCACGTTTTTAGAAAAAGGGGGTAGATGATCAAAGAGAAAGGACAGCCACACGCCAGTGTACCGAGTGTTCTGCAAAACACCCCCCTCCTCCCTTGGCCATAGGGTAATCGATAAGGGCAGGCAACAGGGTGGACTGACACCTAGCAAGCTATTTATTTCTGTCGTATCGATGCTCTGCAGGGCGCTCTGATTTGACACTGAGAAAACATGCCTGCAGATGGACTGCTGGCACAGAGTTCTGGGGCATTCAGAGTGCTGCAGGCACACCCTCCAAGCAAAGCGACAGGAAACCAAATGAAAACATGCTGGGGGAAAAAAAAATAATAATCTTTCCCCAAATCTCTTGTAACATCTTCCCTATGTTCACTGGATAAAGGAGGAAGACCTTAAAACCTGGAGTCTGAAACACTGTGTTTTCTCAGAGATATTAATGTAACCTCACCACTGTCTTACATATTTCAGGCAAACCAATACAATTTTAATTCTGGCCTCTGCAGAGCAATTCTAGTTATGCAACTGTGAGCTACAAATAATGCATATGCCCACCATCCTTTCCTGTAAGATACTTCCCCAAAAAGGAGTTACATAAAATAATAAAAAATTTAATAGGCAACTTCAGATAATGTACTTCACAACCTTAAGGGATATAAAAATAGAAAAAGACATTTTAAAAAAGTGGTGTTTGGTTTTTGAGGAGTTTTTTCTTTGATTGTTTTAAACACAATGACCTAACTCCTTTATCTCCTAATAAAAACATTCTGTAACTCCTTCAGGCTACAGCTCATCTGCTCCAGCGCCTCCTACACCGATGCCTTTGTCAGCTTGGCCAGAGATGTGCCGTTTAGCCACTGTCACTTAGGGGAAAAAGAAGCACATTTGTTATTATATCACATGCAATTTACAGTCAGGCACAGCGTAGCGGCACAGCAGCAATAAAGCACATCCACAAAAAAAGATCGTTGAAAGGTCAGTAATAGTAGAAGTAAGGTTTTAATGAGAACACTCTTCTCCACAGGTTACGAGATCTTAATTATACCACGGTGTTAGCAACCTTGCAGCACTGTGCTAGTGTATGCATCAAGGTGATCACTGTATTTGACTGTTCTTGTGCTTAAACGCACTTCAATAATTCAGTTGCTCAGGGTTGGAACAATAGCGTCTAATGAGAATAATCAGCCAGGCAAGACTGGCGGGGAGCTCTTCTAGCTCCTCCTTTTGCTTCTTGTTCCCCCATTTCTGCCTTCCCTCGTTTATTTTATACACTTCAACTCCACCTCCATTGTCTCACCCCTCCCTTCTGACTGGTCCCTAACCCTCGGCATTGGCACTACGGATATTCTCCCTCTCTTCTTCATTGCTGGTTCAAAACAGGAAAACATTTTGTTTGATTAGCTGTTGTTGGGAGCAAAATACTGGACACAAGCTTTAACTAGAGTAGCTCATAGCCACATCTATTCACAACACTTAATGAGAAAGCTCCGATTCACTCTTCTATACTGTATTTCAAACATACACCAAAAAAATTGAATTTGTTCTTCCAAAGTTTCTTCGCAGTTGTCCCTGTGCTCGTGAGAAAGTGTCACCTCCAGAAATGATTATTACTGTGTAAATAAGCACATCTTACTCATGTTTTCTTCATCGTCTACATCCATTGTGAAATATTTTTGCTGGTTTCTTGGCAGGCGGAGACTGCTTCTGTCTGGAAAACAGAGAGTGGAATATTTAAGCTTTAAGGTACCAACATCCAAGGTAAAGCATTAACTGTCCTTTAAAAGCAGCAGTCTGGACACTGAATTTGCTATGGGCTGTCCATGGGTTTTGCTCAATTTTCACATAGCATTTCCCCAAAGTGCCTATTTCTGTAGCTGAGGTGCAATCTGCAGAAACGCAAATTCAAAAAGGTCCCAAGAATTTGGGGTTTTTTTTATGACAAACTACAATATTGTTTATCTGAAAGAGTATGTAAACTACTTTATCTCACTACACTGGGTTTTTTAAACCCCAGAATACTGTCAAAACCACTCTGCAGGCTACCACACAGACAATTCAAACAGTCAAAACACTAAGGATGTAGGTTTTACCCAGCGCCAAACTGATGAATGTCTGTTTGGTTTGGTTAAATCCTGACCCAAGATCCCTCCTAAGACTGAGATCATCTACGACTGAAAAATGCAGCCCCATATCAGGTGAAGGACAGAGTGGGTAATGTTACCTTAGCTCCTACGTGTGGATTTTCTTATTAACCGAAACGTTCAGATAATTTTACATATAGGTTATTTGGCTGTGGGGAAATACATTTTATTAACCACAGGAAATTCCACTTCAAGGCAGACCGACCTGAAGGTGAATATAAGCATCTGACATACAAAGTATGTAATCTACTTAGCATTTGACTTGAAACAAGGCACCATTTTTACCCAAACCAAAAGCAGTAATTTAAGGGTGATGAGTTTGTGGTTCGGTTTTGTTTTTTTTTCATTATCCCAGTTTGGGTTTTCCTAAACACTAATCAACTAAATATCTGTTGCTTTCTAGGTAATTGCTCAAATCTCATAATGAACAGGGAGCCCTGAACCCCAAAACCATGCAGGGACTGACACTTCATAGAATGAATCAGAGAATCATAGGATGGTTTGGGTTGGAAGGGGCCTTAAAGACCATCTAGTTCCAACCCCCCTGCCATGGGCAGGGACACCTTCCACTAGACCAGGTTGCTCAAAGCCTCATCCAGCCTGGCCTTGAACACTTCCAGGGATGGGGCATCCACAGCTGCTCTGGGCAACCTGTGCCAGTGTCTCACCATCCCCACAGGGAATAATCTCTTCCTGATATCCAATCTAAATCTCCTCGCTTTCAATTTAAACCTGTTAACCTTTCTTGCAGTACCACCTGCCCCAGGCCCACTGTCACCGAGGCCTGGTGCAGCGATGCTTGCATTAATGCCAAGTGCACAAGTGCCAGCAACAGCCAACGAACAACAGGTATACTTGCTGAGGAAGAAGGGATGAGTGAGAGAACCCGGAAGGGAAAACAGTTAATTTCCCAAGAAAGTCAAGAAATGCCTACATCTTGGAGACCACTTCCACGTAGGATGTGCATGCCTGAGGATGCAGCAGGGGGAAAGGAGGACAGAATGCACAGGCACTTTACTTTGCTTTTTGTTGGAGTGCTGCAGAAATCAAGAGCCAGAGACACTGAGCTGTTGAGATTTCACCATTCCTAGCTGGAAAGCAACAGGCTTTGGAAGACAATCCCACTCTGGAAAACCCGAGGTGCTGCCCTAGTGTGTACTCCGAACATGAGCACAACACATTCAGGAGGACCTCTGCCACCAGCCAGGCCCCTGGCAACGCAACAGCTCATGGAGGGCCCCCATCAGACGGGCAGCATCGCACCCCTGTCCGATCCAGGTCCCCGTAAGATGCACAGCTCACCAATTTGTAACAACACAGCATGCCACGCTTCCACCGCGCAGCACCAGCTTGGGCATCTCTTTTGCACCTGGGGACCGCCCTCGCTAAAGCAGATGGACAGAGAGAGGGCAGATGATCGTGCAAATGACATAAGCCTTTTTCCCTTAAAGATATTGGAAATTCCAGCAGAACTTTCGCTAAATGGGCTACTTGTATTTGTTCTAAAAGATGATTAAATCTGCTTTCCTATTTCCATAGAGAAACCTGATTTCAACCCCAATTAACCCCATACTATCAATAAGGCTGTTCCCCTTGTCACACTAATATTACCACCAACCAGATTATCTGTTATGTATATTATGGGCAATATTATGCACAGTTATGAAGGAACATTTACCTACAACAGCAGAAGAAGCAACACTCATTCTTCTGTGTAGACACACAGAGCTCAGATACCACAGTCAACATACATTTAAAATCCAGCTGTGCCAAAAAAGTATAAAAATTGTGCCTAAAAAAGGTGATCTGGGGAGAGGGGACCTACAAAACCCAATGTTTATGCATTATCATGAGAGGACCTTTTGTTTCATCATAATGATGTGTAATTCATGGCAAAGCTTGGACCAACACCAAGGCACTTTGGAATCAGAATCCAGGTCCAACACCTCCATACTGTTATCAGGCTGCTGTACACTGTGCTGAATCCAGGAAAGGGTTGCTCGTTTGTTTTCCAACTACCCCCACCAGTACATATGTGTACCAGTGCATATGTGTATATCATGCAAACTCTATCTCCTTATTAACTAGATTTGGAGGTTTAACACATAGAACTGAAGCAAGTATGAAGACTTAATACACTTTCCATTTAATTGATTAGCAAAGGAAACAGAGTGATAAGCAATATTTTTTTTAACTATTAATTGAAACCAAAGCATATTTATTGTTTAAAAAGCAAACATTTCAAATAACGCTTGGAAAAAAGGTGAGATGCTTTTAAAAGCACTGTATCCCAAGAAATATTATATTTTCCAAGCTTGTAAGTATCAATTCAGGATAAATTTTCCTTGAAAAGGTTGCTGAAAAACTAATTTTCCTTTTGAGTAAAGATTCTTTACAGAACTATTTAATCAATGCACATGACACAGTAAGATAAAATACTCTCAAGACAATAAAATGCTTTAAAGGCTTTAGGCAGTCGAGGTATTCCTAAAGACCACAGGTAGCTTCACATCAGTTTTAAAAACCCTGCACCACCACCACCACATACACATAATTGAATAAAGATTAAAAGCATGAGCAGGTGGCTGGGAAATTCTTCTCTGTGACCAAAACCAAGTGCAATTAGCACTGTGCCAGGCCAGAGAGATTTTGGGAGAGCAAGAGCTGAAACCAGTACCAGGTCCAAGCCTGAATTAGAAGAAAAATAGGAAGAGGTTAGCTCTCCTGATTTACCATCCTCAGAAGTGTGATGCCCTGCAGTGTTCATCCTCAAAGCCCAGACGAGTGTCACCACTGTCCTACCCCTTCAACACCCACATTTGCCGCTGCCCGGACGCGGAGGGAGGGGAGGGAAAGGGGCCCAGCCTGCAGCACAAGACAGACAGCTGGCACAGCGGCCACCTTGGTCTGTGCTGTTACTCAGATGTTGCTTAAAGCTGAAGTGTTTATTAAGATAACCTTTTATATGGCTGTTGACTTTAAACACGAGTGTTGGCGCTTTCTAGGTAGGCCCAGACCTGGCTTAATTTTTTTCCATTAGCTGTAGCCTTGGTGACTCTTCTTAAAGCAGAGTATAAAGAGACTTTTTCCTCTCCCAGAAAAAAAAAAAAAAAACCACTAAACCAACAACAAATAACCAACATTCTTACTGAATTACTGGAGCTGCTAAGGAAAGGCTTTACTGTACGGCCGCATTTGCATTATATAGCATTAGCACAGCTCCAGTGTAACAAGAGGAAATGAGTTGCCTGTAATCAACAGGACCTGTAAATAATTGTCACCTTATTTAGCACATCACACCGGCTCCAGTTACTCCTGCAGCATCACAGTGTGCTCGAGAACAAAAGACTTGGACAATTCACCTTGAAATTACTACGGACATGATCAGTGAGCTATGGGAGAGGAGCCAGGAGTGAGAAACGCTGTACAGCTGCCTCGCACTGCCGTACCAGGGATAAACCCTCCCGGGAGCTGGGTTACCTGTCCTTCTGGCTGTCTGCTAAATGCAGAGGTAAAGAGGACCTCCGGCTGCACAAATATTTGTATGAATTGCTGTAAACTGCTGGTGGCACTAGTGAAGTCCGATAAACAGAATTTACACAGAACTATTATTTTTAAATTATTTAAATAAGCGTGCTAAACAGATTTTGGAAGCATCAATTAAGATGAACGGCCAGGAAGGAGGACAGCTGCAGAAAAGCCGTAAGGCTCATAGCAGATGCAATGCTAGTGTAATAAATAATACAGCCAAACGACACCAAGCTGTCTGTCCACATTTTCTCATGAAGTGTTTGCATCCTTTTAAGGTTTAACCATATGTGTTTAAGAGTTAGGCTAAATATATTCTTGGCGTATAACGAACGCCCACATTTTCTCTTAATCTTTTCCTTATTACAAAAAAAGTATGCTTGAGAAAAAGGAGCAGCGCCCAGCACTTCCCCCCAGCACCAAGGACTGCGACAGCGGATTGTGCCCGTGTCACCCTCCCCGCTGACCGGCTCTATTGCAGAAGTCCCCTAGCACAGAACCCCGGCTGGCGAGCCCAGATTAGCTGACTGCCTACCAAGCCTGCCTCTCCACACCATGCTTTCCCAAGCTTTCGTACCCCAGACACCGTGCTGCTGACACCAACACTTGCCCTGCATGGAGCGGAAAGGGTTCAGGTGAGCATATCAGGTTGGATTGCACCACCCATCGCTCCATTTCAACTCAGTGACATGTGCTCAAAGCCACGTGCACACCACCATCCCAGGCAGGGAAGAGCCAGACAAAGAACTACTAACATATCTATCATTTTTTAATATACTAACAAGCACAGATTCTTGGTTCAGGGTGTCCACAAGCATCCATAGACTTGGCTTGGCAAACAACTGCTCGACTGATCTACAACTGTCCTACCAAGGCTAGGATTTGACTTTGATGCCTAAAGCAAGGGGTGAAGTACACTCAAAGTCTTAGAGCACCACAGGTGGGAAGCTGTGTATTTTTCACTATGATCCCCCTATCCCAGGCACATCACT